GAGGTGGTGAATAAGGCGCAGTTTGCCGTTCTTCTTTGGAACCGCACCCACACCAGAGCAGCGCATGAATTCAAATGGCGGGTGGTCAAATACGTCTGCTGTTTCACCACGGGAGCATGCACCGGCCAGATATTCGGCAACAAATGCAGCATGTGTATAGGAAGATGAGAGATTAGGAGAGCTTATAGATACATTGCGAGGGCCAGTGAAGCCAATGTTGAAACTTGAAACCATGCTGAAGACCATGCAATGAATGGTTTACCAGGTCGCGGTCAGGATGCATGCGAAGTAGTGTCGAGAAATGGGGAATATGTACAGGTGTGGTGGGCTTTGGGCCCGGCATGTGACGTGACAGGCCTCTATGTGGAGGCCTCTCGCCCTGTAGTGGACCTGGGCGACTGTTGGCTACGACACTTAGTGCGAGGGTGTGATGAGCAGCCACACTTGAGGCACACATGTCGGCGGATGCATGAGGCGTTCTGGCAGCGGCCAAAGTTGAAGTTACGGCAGACTTCAGTTGAGGAGGTTGATCCTGTGAGTGGGGCACGTCGGGGACGAAAAGGGCAATTGTCAGGCCCACCTGACGATGGGTGTGTCAGATTACAACTCGAGCATACTGCACGGGCCTTGCCCGTGAAACACAGCTGCCAGAGGTTGGCGTCGATTTATTCCCATGACCTGCCAGGAGTCAGTGCCGCCGACATCCGGAACTGCCGGTCGTATGTTAGCCATGCCTCTGGGTAGAACTGCTTGTTCGCAGTTATGATGGTGCCTTGGTATGCCAGCAGTTCCTGCACTCGGTGTGGATGGAGTTTTGCGAGAACAGTACTTTTGCGATTTCATACTCATCACGAAAATTGCGAACGATTCGAGACCGCAACAGTTTCCCTGTTTACGGACTAATACTCAGATTGTACTAAGAAGAAGGACACACATCAGGCTCTTCAACAATATCTTGAAAGTTTTCACTAGTATACTTTCAAGCCTTATCGTCAGGTCAAATGCAGGCAAAATCAAATGAACACGGACAATGGAAGTATACCGTGGTGGCAACTTCTTCAAGTCCCACGGATCCGGTCAGGTTGTTTGGGTCATTAGGGAGGTTTAGTTCCCACGTAACGGAAACGCGTACGTGGGTGATCCACGTAAAGTGGATGAAGGGCACCCACGTTGCAATGTTGTGTTTAGTCACACGGAACAAACAAAAGCATGAAGCTAAAGGCCAAAACCTGGTCAAAGACGAAGCTACCCCGGCCTAAGAAGCTCATCCAATATTTTGATTTCGTGCTTCGGAAACTTCTTCAGCTGAGCACCCTCACAGCTCGCACAATGCGCTCCATTCTGATTTTCACCCACGTTCTGGCGGAACGTGGGTGAGCCTCCATACACGGTATGTCGTGAATCAGAAAACGTCTGTACGTGGGTCACTGAGTATCACGTGGTACACCCACGTAAAGTACCCACGGATTACGTGGGACTAAACCTCCCTAATATCAGAGACAGACCAAATGATGCTATCTTTTTTTAGTTAGATTGTTCTGGCCAATTGATCATTACTTTCACTGGTTCTGTTTTTCTTTAGTGCCCGCTATTGAAACTACGTCTGGTCTTCGCCTTGCCCAATCGACTGGTAAGTATGTGTGGAGATGTTGAGCTTGGTGTGCTTGGTGTGCTTGGTGTGCTTGGTGTGCTTGGCTCACTTGCATACACCATCATGACTACAGTGTACAGTATGCAGTATGCATTCTGTGAGCGCTTAGCGCCGAAGACCGGCCATTTTTTTAATAATTCACGGTTCGTGTGAGACTCTGCTGCACGCCGAGTTTTCCGCATCCGTAGTAACGCCGCCACCCTCTATGGGTCAAGCTTGGTACAGATGCAGCTCCTAAAGAGGTGGGAGGTGAGTAGATCACACCCACCACAAAGTGATTGGCCTGGCACGAGGGAAGAACGGGTATGCTGGACAAAACTAATAAGAATGACGCTGGCTGGAACTTTGTCAAGAGAGCATGTCTGAGGATATTCGTCTTGAAGTTAGCCGATTTGCAAGCGCTGATTGCACCCTGAGCAATTAGACAGAACTAGCATACACCGGCAAATAGTAGAACATCTCTTCTACCACTGAGGACATGCCCCCCCCCCTCCTTTTTTTTCTTCTTCAAATGAACTATTTTGACGATTTCACTGTTCCTCCTGCCGTAAAATATATTTGGAAACAGGAGTTAAGACTTCAGTCACTTTGCATCAACGGTCGGACAAAAAATAATGATTTGATTGTGGCGCAAGGAGAGCTTGTGGTTTGAGTTTACCAAATTACTGAGTATACGTCATGGACGGGCCAGCTTTCCGGTGCAGGTATGAGTTTGGCTAAATTTGTGGACGATTGAGTGGATAAATACAAGGGCTTTGCACAGTCGATCTACACCTCCAAAGGAAACTTACCTGCAAAATTTGAGCGAAATGCCCGTGGAAATTGCTTGTTACCACCAAAGTATCCAACATTCACATCTCATGGCATGTGAAAGCACCCTGATATTATCATATCTCCTGGAGGGGATGTTCCAAAGCTATGTACGTTGCAATACACATGAAATACTTTCTCATATCTGGTATGGTTTATATATGTGCAGTTAGTTCTACTAGCTGGTAGTAATTGTGGCTTTCGCACGGCAATTTCAAACTGAGTGCCGGAGAGTGTGCAACTCGGTCAGCGTATATTATCATATCAACTGACACCCTACCACCCCAACAACACGCTGCTATTGTCGTCGTCGGGAAGACTGCCCTTCCCAGTGTCTCTCTCCTGAGAAATGCAGTGTTTTTGCCAACCATGCACATATGAACATGAACACACCACTCCTGCCTCATCGAGATCTGATCCTTTTCTGGGTCAAAATGTGCCTGAAACTAGTGTAAGTAAGTCAGCAATTACGTTGAAAATACCCAAGAAATGCTGCTTCATTCCCAAGCTCTGCTTGTCCAACAGTAGACGACTTGTGACGTTGTGTGTACTCCATTGTTGTCCTCTGTGCGCGCAGCCATTCTGAGGCACCTCAGCCGTGCGTCGGGCTATGACTGCGACTGCGACGACTACTCCTGGTGCGATGTGCTGGCGCTTGGTGTTGGTAAGTCCACAGTTCAAGTCTTTCCTTTCCGTTTGCTTTGTTTTGTTATGACACTGCTTCATGCACAGCCGGTTGTCTACACACAATGCAGTACCACTGCAATGGTGGATCTAGGCGACTGATTTAGTGTGCGACCTGTTTGGCTGTGACTGGCCTTATTAAAAAAACACACACATGTAAATCGACCTACGTGTAGCTTGCCTTCACACGCCATGTGATGTTACAACCTCCTGTGGAGCTACATAGCCAGCATGGCAGTTCTGGATCCTGATTACATGTATTATTAATAATTTATTATATATTTGAGGGATTCCCCACATGCTATCCCGAGATCAAAGGGTGTCCATGGCTGATTGTCGCTGTGACGTACGACAATCCTTGTGTCAGTAATGCCATAGGGCAGTTGCAGGCTCTGTTGGTATTGCCGTTAACTGCGTTCTGTCATTTTAATATACCGTATTTCCCCAATTATAAGTCGCACTCGATTATAAGTCGCACTCGATTATAAGTCGCACCCCCATTTTCAGGTTTGAGCAATATTGATTTGATATATTGACTTCATTAGTAAGTCACGCTCGATTGTAAGTCGCACCCCATTTTTACCCTTGAATTTTTGTGTAGAAAGGTGTGACTTACATTCGGGGAAATACGGTACTGTTAGTGGGTGCGCACTGTGGTGTTATGTGTTGTGATAGCTGACAGCTCTAGCTTGTGATATTAGTATCTGTAACGACGAGCTCCACCGGACGCATGCATGTCATCGAAATCGTCTCACGGCTCTGAACACACGCAAGGGTGCTGATCTTACTTGGCACACATGGAGTACTGCTACATGACATTGTATGACATTGTACATATACGTGTCTATCACTCACTGATCTCTCAGCTGGGGAAAGTCCCAGCATGATCATGCCACGTGCCTGAGAGAGCTCTGTTGTCCTGCATTCATGCCTTGCAGAGGATCAGACAACCAAGATGGGCCGCGTCGTCTGGGCAGCTGACCTGGATGCAGAGAAGCGCCGTACGTACCTGAAGGAGGCACGCACATGGATTGCATACTACGAGCAACACGCCCCGGCCGGTGAGCCGGCTGCCAACCGCGGCTACTTCACAAGTGGTGGCCGTATCACTTGGGTGGACTTTGCCATCTTCAACTTCCTTGATGCGCACAAGGCATTCGCAGAGGTCGCCATGGAAGGTGACAAATCACCGGCCGACAACTTCATGGCCGAGTTCCCTCGCCTGAGCGCCTTCTACCAACGCTTCAGTCAGCGTCCACAGGTTGCTGCCTACCTCGCCAGTGAGCGCCGTCACCCCTACTCTCTGCCGAAGAAGAGCTAAATGCTGATCGTCATCATACAGTACACGTAACCAGCCAGATCCTTGTTCACGGCACCTCATAGTGCTTTCGTCTAGGCTGTCTAGGCTAATGTTCTGTTCTTGTCATGTCCCTCCTAGTACATGTACAACTACTGGTTTAGATCATCTCATCTCCCTCTCTAGCTTATGCCCTTCTGCGCACTTCGGTGTTGTTATCTCTAGTTATATTGTAGTAAGTTACGCAGTAGCCCAGGTGGTGGCTGGCTGTTCTCCCTTCTTACAAGTACTTCCATTGTGTTATCATCTTATTTTTTTAAATAATAAACACCCAGTTGTGAAGCGGTACTGATAGCTTATGCGCCGGCGTTTAGCTCTGAAGCTGCAGTGAACTCTGGGCGTTGGATTTATTTGTGTTAATCATTTGCCCAAGGCCTCTACCTTCTGTGGGTTGACCCAGCGTTCTTGTGCAAGGTACTAGCTCAGCTGGTGGTGGCACTCATGCAGTCTAGTTCCATCAGAACGGTACTGGCTTTATACAAGCGGAACGCACTCTCGCAAGTCTTCTAAACCGTGGAATTATATGGCAAACCGTGTCAAAGCAAAATCACTTCTGTTTTCAAATGCCGGTAGGAAAGAAAAAGATTGAGCAATGCCAGCTACAAATCATATCTATCAGGTGTTCAGGACATGTGACAGAGGACAAGAGAGACCAGCATGGCGAGAAGGCATGGTGTCTTAAAAGCAGGGTAGTGGCCACCAGGTTCCAACCCGTACCGGAGGGACAAGGCTAAGCGTACTAACACAGAAATTGTTGGGAAGCACACTGGGCAAAAAAATGTAGCTCAGAAGTCAGCACGGAATTGGGGCAATGCAAATGCCTGCAGGCACGACTAGTGGCAGGTGCACCAGTGCTACCAGTGCAAGAGTGCGGTATGAAATCACTACATGTACTACTGAGCCGGCAGGGTGTGTTCTGCCCATCTTATATCGTCGTCCGTTGAAATCGTCCTTCAGCGCCACCCTTGTTAGTACATGTGGTTGGCTACATGCAGGCTGGTCTGAGCAGCGCCCTGTGCCGAGGCGCTGTCCGTGATGTACTGGCCCGCGGCCGCCTTGCCGTTGATGGAGGCACGCTTCAGGAAGGCTTCCTGGCCGGCATCCACCAGCGCGTCCTGTCCCTTCCAGGCAGCCAGGGTGCTGGCCTGCAAGGCACGGCCATAGCTGAATGTTAGCTTCCAGGGCTTCTTTCCTGTGCACACGCAGATGGTACAGCATGATAGCGCACAGGGCTAGGATAACAGCACATCCAGATACCTCACCCATTACGACAGTAGAGCATGACAGTGCAGAGTGCTATGACACCAGATGCCTGACCCTGAATGGCATGCAAACACTGAGAAATCTGCCGCCTTTCATGCAAAATTCGCTTTCTGAGCCACGAGCAACTCAGACTAACAATTCAACACCATTCATTGCATGCACTAATTTTGACTGCAATTGCTCAAATGCCATACACATACAAGTCAACAGTATCATCCCAATCTCAGAAAAGCCTCCACATCCATTTCGAACTGCACAAATTTGAGATGAATGTATGCAAGAGTCCATAACCCCAAGAGTGTGCAACTCTGTACATGGGGATCCGCGCGGCGGAATTCCAACATTACGTCAAAAATGACGTACACGTTTGTTGCGCTTGTACTACTCCCTGGTTCCAAGCACTGCAGAATGCGGAGTTTTGGCCTCTATGCCTCAGCGGCATGACGTAATGTTGGAATTCCGCCGTGCAGTGGGCCTACAGCAGCCAGACCCCAGTTGCAAACTCTTGGGGTAAAAATATGGACTCTTGCTGTATGGCATCACCTTTCTACAACTGCATGTACATGTACAGTCATGTATCAACAGCTGTGTGACACACATACCGACCTTGATATTGGTTGATGGCGTTGAGATTGCGCGATGCCTCCTCCTCCGATTGTCCACCAGAGAGGAAGGTGACGCCGGGAACGGCTGCTGGCATGGTGCGTTGCAGCGCGGTCACTGTGGCACGCGCTATATCCTCAGGAGTGTAGTCCTACAAACACATGCACACGCGTTCACGCACACGCACACACAGACACACACACACAGACACACAGACACACACACACATATGTGTGCACACACACGCACATGCACACACACACACACACACACACACACACACACACACACACATATGTGCACACACACACACACACGCACACACACACACACACACACACACACACACACACACACACACACACACACACACATACGTACAGAGACATACCAGACACAATAGTCACAGACGTGCACGTATTGCTATACACACAGAAAAGAAAGCAAAGGAATTTGATGGATACACCATAGAGTATAAACGGGAAACTTCTGCGCCATGTTCAGTTTACAATTGTCAAGCACGGGCATGGGAATGGCTGTGAACTGACTCAAAGTATGGCAGTAACAAGTTACATGACTACATAATACCGGTATTATGCAGGTTTACATTACATTAAAAAATAAAACGCTGCACAACAAAATTAGGGAAGGTTTATTTCGAAGTACATTACTCGTACTTCAAGTACTAAAATAATAACTTGCCTGAAGAGTATTTTGAAGAAGTAGAGTTTACGGCACTAGCTCAATCATTATCACTCGGCAGTTGAAGGGCGTGGATAATACAAACTTCCCATTACGTCGTGCACATACCGGCCATGAGCATGAATGCTGGCATAGTGGCATTCATGTGACTTACTGATCGTTTCGGACAGTCCATACCGGGTGTGACCATGTTGGGTTTGAGCAGTGTTCCCTCAAGGTACACGTTATGGTCGCTCAGTGCCTTGTACACCGCTGCCAGCACCTGCAATGCAGTACAATAGCAGTACATACTGTAAAGTTGCGGATAAAAGCCAGGTTTGCATACAGTACAAGCACATCGCGGATAAAAGCCAGGTTTGCATACAGTACAAGCACATCGCGGATAAAAGCCAGGTTTGCATACAGTACAAGCACATCGCGGATAGAAGCCTGAAAATCAAACGGGTCAAATGCTTATAAGCCTGTCGCACATAGAAGCCTGGCTTCTATGCAAGCGCGGATCAGGTAGGTCAAGAGTGCATGCGCTATGTACGGTGCATAATACAACTGCCGCCATACCGGTAGTCAGTGATAGATGTACGCGTTTCGCGCATATCAGCGGTGCATATAAGCATGGTTTGCATACAAGCCTGGTTTGCATTAAAGCCTGATGCAGAAAGCGGCTTATAACATTACGCTTATAAGCCCGGCTTTTATCCGCGACTTTACGGTACTGTAGATCACATAGAAATTCCACTGATTCCGGGGACGAGATGGACCTGGTCAGTTCCAGTATAACCATGGCATGTCATGTCATGTAGGTCTACCTTGGAGCTATGTCCCCCCCCCCCCCCATGGGTATAACGTAACGTTAAGTCTACAGTACTGGCGGGCACGGAAGAACGAACAGGCCAGGATTTCACCCAGTACCGTGCATAATGCATGTACTTCAAGTACATAGTATAATACTGGCAGCAGCGTCACTGTGCTAACACCAACAGCATACTGGCAAAGCGAGTCATGGTCAATGGTCCACGGTCAATGAATTGCTCGCGTACCTTCTCGCTAACTGCTTGGCAGCGCGCCAGGTCGTGGGTACCGTCCGGCAGCACCTCCGGCTCCACAATCGGCACAAGGCCGTTTTGCTGGCATGTGCTGGCGTAGCGAGCCAGCACGTTGGCGTTCTCCAGGATGGACAGTGGCGACGGAGTGTGCTCACCGATCTTCAGCACACAGCTGCAAGCAATGCGGAAAACGCAACAGAATGTCGCATGAAAAAAAAACAATGTAAGTTAGCCATAGGTGAAAGTCGATGAGGAGACCATAATCTAAGAATCGCCGTCATGAACGATACAATGTGCACACTCATCATGTAACAGTTACATGGGTACATAGTGTTCATAGTTTTACCGCAGCATGACACATGGGCACATCATGTCATGTACTAGTATATACACACGTCATCACTGGAATGGGTTCGTTTACTTTCTTAGAATGTTTTCTTGTGACGGCCTTCAGGTGGAGTACATCACTGAATGACGGTGGACAGCATTTATGGCCAGGACAAAATGCTTTGATGGCTAAATTTACGTCACTGTGTATTCTGGGATTTCAGCTGAAATCCAGGAATTTTACATGTCTTAGAGACATGGCGGAGGACACCACCGTGACTGAGAAGGATAGTGTAAATTATATTCTGGGGAGCTGACTGTGGTTGGTCCAACACCAAGTCACCAAGTCAATGAAGGTAGACTGTGCTGTAAGTGTAGTGTGCCGTTCTGTGTAAGTGATTGTGGTAACGTGGGCTGGTGACGCCGACGTGATCCAGCTCGACGCGACCCTCAACACGCAACAGTCGTGTCTGGCGGCATGGACCAAGTATCCGCAGACGCCCCATCCTCTGCTTCAGGTGGCAATCCTGCCACAGCCCCATCTGCTCCAGCTCAGCCTATCTCCGGTGCATTATAAACTTCCATCGTATTGGCTCAGGGATCTTCAGGTGTGGTTCGCTCAAGCAGAGGCGTACTTCGCAACGTGACACATAACGTCCCAGAAGACGAAGTTCCCCATCATAGTCTCCTCACTAGCACCAGAATACGCAGCTGAGATGAGAGACCAGTTGGTTCAACCTCCTGACGAGCATTAGCATGACAGGATAAAGACCGCCCTCACGAAATGCACCCAGAAATCTGAGCACGCTCGGGTCCGTGCTCTTCCCAGTCAGGAGGAACTGGGTGACGGGCCCACCGTCCACCCATCTGCTATGCAGAATGCAAACTCTTCTCAACGGTAAAGAATTGGACCCCGCTCCACTCAGGGAACTATTCCTCTCCAGCCTCCGATCCCAAGTGCGACTCATCTTGGCCGCATGGCAATCAAGGAATTAGCGCAGCTTGTTGACCGTGTGGCAGAGTCTGCCATGGCACAAGGCAACAGCGGATCAGTCTGGCGCCATAACTCGCTTGGCAGACCGGACGGAACAGTCGGTAGCGGCGGTAGAAGTTCCCTCCTCCCGGGACACTCACTGCCAGCCCTCCAGGGGACGCTCGCCTCTACGTCAGGACCGTTCCTGCTCGGGCACTCGCTCCCCATCTCGCTCACGCAGCCGTTCGCGACACGAGCACTGCTGGCACCATCGAACGTTCGGTAAGGATGCAAAGAAGTGTTCCTCACCTTGCACCTTCCAGAGAAACAGCCAAGCCAGACAGTAGGTGCGACCACTGCTGCTGCTGCTGGCTAATCATCTGATGCTGTTCGCCTACTCCACTTGCTCGACAGGACCCGCTCCGCTGTCCTCGTCGACCCCGGTGCAGAGGTCGGCATCATTCCTCCGTCATGTCTGCCTATTTCTGTCCGTTTGTCCTTGTCTTCTCGTTCTCCTTCCTCTTCCTGCAGTGCCTTGTCTTCACACCGAAAACAACAGCCCCATGCGCACATATGGACAGCATCTGCTTGAACTCGACCTCCGTCGATTTTCATTGTGGCCGACGTGTGCTCTTCTATTCTCGGTGCAGATGTCCTCGGTTGTTTGGGTTTTACCGCGGACATTGCCTGTAAGCAGCTGGTCGACTCCAACACAGCTCTCTCTCTTCGCCGTCTACAGTCTATCAGAATTGAAACCGGTCCCTAGCGTGTTAGCATCTTCAACCTCTGATTTATTCACCGCCATCCTGTCCCAGTACTCAGGGGCGGCGGAAGGTACTAGTATTCGACATTGGCGCGGCCATGAATGGGTGGAGGGTCCAGGGCCCAGGGGGTCCTCCCCCGGGAACATTTGAGGGGAACTGGGCCCAAATAGCCCGTATTCCATTGCTTCAGAAATCCCAAGATGACATTATTCTGCCGCACCGGTTCTGACGCCCCTGGTACTATAAGTTAGTCATTCTCTTATTGGCCACAGGCCATCGTGAGAATAAAAGATTTCAAACTCCTTCCTGATCTTCATTTTTTCCCTTGACTTCCTTTCTTTCTTCTCAGATCAGCTCAATCAGCTCAACCTAGATTACACGTAGTTAGTCAGTTCAATTATTTCTTTCCCATAATAAACCTTCAGAAGAAAACATTGCTGTTCATGTACATGATAAGACTGTGGTAACGTGGACATACATCACAATCCCGGCGTTACATATGCACACAGTCATGCACAGTCATGTAGATCTACGTAGTTGGGCGTTTGAGATCAAGATGATTCAGGACCAGGTTTCAGATGCCCACTCTCCCTACACCTATGGCTATAGTCTATAGTCCTTCGCCACCACAGGCACCACCACCACTTAGTCACTGCCTCCACAGCCACTCCTGACTAATCTCCAAAACATGCTGAGAGTGAGAAGGCAGACCAGCGGCGTCAAAGACAAAGACTTCTCTACGGAAAGAAAGAAGCGCATTTACAAATGCACAGCGCTGCCGACCGTTGGCAATTCACATCCGCAACTGATTGTCCGAAGTTCCGGAAGCGCATCCCGGAAGCGATCTCCAACAATGCATACAGGGTAGCCGAAGTAACTAATACTTGTCATCGGTGTCAAAACTCGACATCGGACAAGAGAAAGACAGGGTGATTTAGGGTCGATGGTGCATGTGGGACAAAGAACACTGCACTACGCAAGGCAGGGGCAGGGGACTGGGTACACGGAGAGCAAGCGAAAGGCAATCACAAAAGTGACAAAACTCAACTCCCACCGCCAAACCACATGATGAACACCAATATGAGAAGCACTAACCACCTACACCGCATTCCACGGATACCGATCAATGCAGTCCTTACCGCCACTTGGCAAACCTGGCCCCGTCCTCGTAGTACTGCTTGCATCGCTTGCCTAGATCGTCCATGCCCTGCGTGGTCGTCTCTCCGTTGGTGCCAGCCAGCGGGACGACTCCCTTGTCGACTTTGATGCCGGGGATAATCTTCATGTCGTTGAGCATCTTGACGAACGGCACACCGCTATCGCTCTTCTGGTACAGGGTCTCGTGGAACAGGATAGCACCGCTGATCGACTCGGCCATGACCGGATTGCAGGTGAAGAGAAGCTGGCGATACTTGCGCCGGTTCTCCTCCGTGTTCTCCACGCCAATGTTGGCGAAACGCTTGCCCATCGTGCCCGTGCTTTCATCGGCAGCCAGCAAGCCCTTGCCTGTAGCCACGATACCCTCAGCCGTGGCACGCAGTTCGGCCTTCTCGGCATCCGTCAGCCATGTTCCAGTCGAGACTAGTGTTGCCATGTTTGTTACTGTCGACTTCCACTACTGTCACTGGTTAGTCCAACGTGCAAATGATCAGTAGAGGAGAGGAAAACACAGCAACAAGCTAGAATAATAATCTTTTCGGAACAGTAGACCCATTCTACGGATTGAAGAGGGCAGTTACAGACAAGTGCATGGCCACGCATA